CAATCCTGTCACCACTGAGTCCCGGTCGTGCCACTACATGTTCCTTCCTGCCTCAGTTCCTCCTATTCTTGCCTCTTCCTGCCACTGTGGAGCGCCCTCTGAGCTCTCCCTTTTGACCCAAGAGGCTTTGGCCCTGGCTATGCAGCCACAGGGCAGGCATCCGCAAGACCCGGCTTGCACATGGGGCAGAGAGAGTGGGGAGCCAGGCAGGCACATTGGGGGTTCAGCTGGGAACCGTGGGAGTGCTGAGAGCATGGGCAGACTGATCCCAGTGCCTGGAGCCTGAGAAATCGCTGCCTTCTTGTCTGAGGGGAAATTGTGCAAATGCGCTTATTTAACCTGTGCAGAATGCGGAGATCGGGAGATCCCTTTGCATCCTGCCTGTGATGCCGGTTGCTGCAAGGTCTCGCCTCCGCTGTGCAGGCGGTGAATCGGGCAGCAAAGCTTCCTCGACGCCTCCAGGGGTACACCAGCCACCTCTGCCTGTCCAGCGGTCTCCTTGCCATCTCCAGCCTGAGTGAGCACAGGTTTGTTTGTGGAGCAACTCGACCAAACTAAAGTAGCTTCTCCTAGATAAATAACCGGGCAATGAGCTGTGAGCCTGGACCGTTATTTCTGCTTTTTTAGTAGTCACATGTTGGGGTATGCAAAAGGTTGATTGTGACGGACACTGTCTTTTAGAGCTCTAAAAATCTTCTCAAGGAGCTCCATAAGTGCAGTGTACCCACCGCTGGCATGTGCACGCTGTGTGTATTGTCGGAGGGGCCTGCGGGTCTCTTCAGGAAATGCAGAGAGGAGACGGTAGCTCTAAGGCATGTGTGTGAGTGCATGCATGCACATGCACATGTGTGTTCACACCCAGATGGAGGAGAGGGGGAGGGTACAGCAGCCAAATATTTAAGGACTGATCCCCAGATCAGTGTTCATGGTGAAGACCTTCTCCTTTATGCCTGGGGGCCTTGGCATCCCCACCGGCTGCAGAGGTTTTAGTGGGAGCCAAGTGTGCATGCCCAGTTTATTAGTTTGCCGTTGCTGGGAGCAGGATGTGGCGGTGAGAGAGGTCCTTCTGCAGGCAGGTGACACGCTCATTAGGTTTATCGCAGCAACTCTGTTCATCAGGGCTGGAGCAGCTGGAAGGAAAAAAAACTGCCAGGATGTTAAGAGGGGGCATCCACAAAAGGGCTGTGGTCAGCAATGACGTGTTTAGCCACAGACCCACATACAGATGTACAGGAGAGACCGCTTTGAAGCTGGCATGGCAGAGCAGAGAAGCCCTGGCAAGCAAAGAGCACTTGTGCAGACGGATGTGCCAAAGTCTTGCGAAGCAGATCTCATCGGCCATGTGAGTGCCCGGGGCTGTCACTGCTCTCTCTCCCTGAACTTGGCCCTGAGCAGCTCAGAGGCTGCTATCCTCTCTATGGTGCCAGGAGGGCTTCTCAGTTTTACACACCAGTTTTGGCACAGGTTATTTTGGCAGTTTCAAAACCTGCTGCTGTTGAAGCTGTGTGCAGGAATTGCCAACCTTCATGCAAATCTGAATTTTTTTTTTTTTTTTTTAGCAGTTCTAATAAATAATGGGCATGCCTGCAGAACACTGAAAGTATCTATAAGGAAAAAAACAAGAAAGGGGGTTTTGTTCACTTTGCATGTGGCTAGCCTTGGCAGAAGTAATTATGGTGGTAGGAGACCTGGACTGTTTTTGAAGGGCTTGACTCTCACACTGTGTGAGGTGGGTGAGAGCGCAGAGGGCAACACTCTTCTCTAGGCTGGTTTCGTGGCACGTGTGCCAGTGGGAGCACAGCTGTTGGTTTGACGTGCAGATAGGAGGATTTTCAAGGCTTGGTTGGCATCAGCAACATAGTTGAGGCCTGACACTAAGAAGCTACAGCATTTGCAGGTTTGCTGTGAATGGTGTTGTGCGGTTGCTTTGAGTGCAGCTGGTCCAAGCTTCAACACCTCCATGCTCTGCTGGGATTTTGTTTGGACCCAAACCTCTATTTTTAAAAAACAAAATAAAAGCCAAGCATGTGTTAGGGATGTGCGCTCAGAGAAATAGATTGTGTGTGCTAACTCACTTTGTGCTATGCCTCTCTTTCAGTTGGTGCTCTACGTGTGGAGTTTTCCCAGCCTGTGAACCTGGAAGAAGTGGCGAGAATAAACCCAGAGGTCAAAACAGGAGGTCGTTTTGCTCCGAAGGACTGTGTAGCACTTCAGAAAGTAGCAATAATCATACCATTCAGGAACCGAGAGGAGCACCTGAAGTACTGGCTGTATTACCTGCACCCAATTCTCCAAAGGCAGCAGCTAGATTATGGAGTGTACGTTATCAACCAGGTAAGATGCTAAAGACACAGGGCTTTATACTGCTCTCATAACAGTGCCCATGCTCCCTAAAACAGTTGCTTTATCCTGAACAGCAGTGGGCTAGCAGGCAGGGATAAGTTTGCTTTTAAAAAGCAAAACAAAACAAAACAAGACCGTAGCACACACACACAAAAAACTGGAAATGAACATGAGCAGGTTTGCTTTGATGATTTTGATGGAAAACCTGAGGTCCCCTCTTCTCATCAGGCACGATTCACTCTAAAGAGCTTCTGCTTAAAGAAACCACTTGGTGAGGAGGGAAAAGATCCTTAATAGCACAACCCAATCTAATATCTCTTTCCAAGTAATCCTTTTTCCCAACTGCTGCAGGAAGTGCATACAAAGATCTTTAAGGTGACAAGGTAACATTAATGCCTAATCTGGCTGGGTGTGCCATAAAGCATAGGATTTCACTTCCTTGAGCAATTTCTGTTCATATTAGTAATAGCGCATGAAATGTTACGATGGAGAAAACAAAGCTGTGGCAGTGGAGCGGGTGAGTGATTATCTTCAGGTGAACAGAACAGAAAAGAACCAAGTAGTGACAGGGGGGTATTTTGTTGGGTTTTTTTCCTTGATATCTGATGTCCTTATACCTGTCATTTAAAAAAAAAAAAAGGCATCTTCCACTCCAAACAAGCTGTCTTAAGTGGGTGTTGTTCACACTTGTAAAAACTTAAAACGTGTAGGCATTTGTATGGGCTGCAGTGTGAAAGGGCAGATGCAGTTCTGAGAGCCCCAGTGGAGACTGCCGGCTGGGCAATCTAACAGCACAGTTTCTCTCTTGGATATGTATTTATATCTTGTTTTCTCAGCTCTGTAAAAACTGATATGAAATAACGTACTTCTTTAAATGTAACTCCTTAAATTTGCAGATCAGCTGATATGATTTGGCATATCAAGCACCCTGAATATTTAAAATGGTTGCCCAAGTGATAGATTTCCTCACAGAATTGAAAGTAAGGGAAGACCCTTTTCTAGAGAGAAAACAAATACTCCTCTACTACTATTTCTCTTACTTTGCTCATTTCCAGGGTGCCAGAGATCTGGGCAAAAGTGATTTGTGGGGAATTAGCAGTAGCTTCCAAGCACAGCAGCTCTGGTGTCTGTGGCCAACTGTGCTTGTGGCCTGGTGGCTGCGTTGCTGAGGAGACAAGGCGTTTCTGCAGCCTGCGGACTGGCACGCTGTGCCCTAACGTTAAGGCCTGTAAGGAGACCCTTCCTATGTAATGCAAAGAACAGCTGGTGCCACTGTGGTCCAGCAATGTGGGGCCAGCCCCAGCCCTTTGTCACTCAGGCCACATTTCCTTGCACGTGCAGCGTTTGCCTGTGCAAGCTACTGGTGCCACAAGGCTGCTTGAGCCACGGTCCCTGCCGGTCAGTGGGGTGAATGTGGCAGGGCAGCATGCCTCCCTTTTTTCTGAGCGTGGCTCAGAAGCGAGGGTGCGATGTGGCTTCCAGCAGCGGTCCTGCGGCTGGGGCTGCTGCTTTCCTGGCCAGGCATAGCTCATCAGCCAGCTCTGCAGAGGACCAGGGAGAGCTGCATGCCCACAGTCCAGGGGCACTGCTGGTAGGCAAGCAGCCATCTCCATTGCAAAGAGCCGGCAGTGCAGCTAGGGTTGGTATTTCCCCATCGGTGGTGTTCAAGGGTAAGGAAAGCAAGGGGCCCGATCATGCGGAGCTGTGCTGACACCCATAAAGGCAGGCAGTGTCCGAAGCCATGTTGGAGTTCCTGCTGCTGCTGCTGCTGTGAGGGTGCATGCTGGCTTGCATTGTCCTGCGCTGCTGGCTCCTCCTCTTCTCTGGTCCTGTCCTCCAGCACTAGGGCTGTGGGACTGTCTGTGTTCTCTGAAGTTAATTAACTCTCACAAAAATTATTGAAGGAAATGGCTTTTTTCTGACCCATCTCTTGAGCAAAGTTGGAGTGGGAGTGACATGCAGTATACAAGGTATATATGTCCTGGACACATCTAGCAGTCAGATGTAGGTTAGCATGTAAGACTACCTGACTTGTGGAATAAACATGCCTCTAACAAGCTGTGTCAGGAAGAGGCAGAGCGGTCAGTGGTAGTAAACCCACTGGATGCGTCTCTCGAGGGTGAGTGGGAACGCTGAATAGAGAGAGCTGCAGAAAATGTATTAATTCTGCCAGAAGTACAGTAGGAAAACAGTCTTATTTCTCTGCTGTCTTGACAATTGCTTTTCTCTTTTTCTTGTCTGTCCTTCCCTTTGCATCTGCCCTCCTTTTTTTTTTATTTTATTTTTCCTTCTAGTGGGGAAATATTACCTTTACTTGTTAATCCTGTCTATATCAAAGCAATCACTGAAGCAAGGAGAATTACTGTGTGATCTGGTTCTTACACGCTGCCTACGTGCTCTTCTGTGCTCTGCATCTCATAGAAAGAAAGAGGAGCGCTGAGCCCTGCTACTGCTGCACTGGTAATGTCAAACTTCTTCCTTTCAGCGCAATGTGTTTCCATCACGAGTCCATTGTGCCTCCACCATGGTGTTCTTGTGTGCCTGAATGCCTCAGAGTAGGACTTGGCTGAAGTCAGGGGGATGATGTTTGTAAAATGTCCGGTGTGTAACAGGAGCCAGTGGAAAACACATATTATGCTTCATCCTCCACACTCCACCCCCAGCAAAAGCTAAGCCCAACATGTGGAGTAGCAGTTGTAGGATCTTCCAGATAAATCCGAGATGAGGACACGTGGCTGGGCACGCTTTTTGTAGCACGAATTTGATGCCGTGCAAGCTTGACTTCAGCAAATGGGAAGGCAGTGGCAAATTTGTGGCGTCTCCCTCAGTCCCATTCACTCCCACCATCACCCATGTCCTGTCCTGACTCCTTCAGCCATTGCCACCTGGGTGCTCAGGTCTAGAAATAAGTTTTCTCGCTGCAGTTCAGCCTCTGCAAATGCCCATGCAGCCAGGCTGAGGTTTGGGAAAGGGGAGACTTGGCAAATTCTCTGAAAACCATGCAGTTGTTCAACCATTTTCCACTGGCCCCTTGTGTTGCCTGCAATGTCCTCTATAGCAATTTTCCAGAGCGTGTGTGTGTGTGCGTGTGAGTGTGGAGTGGTTGGGGCATCACACTTATTCATGCTATTTTGCAGGGGGTATTAGCACCCCCCAGGTATGTGGGCAAGGGAGGGAATTGTACTTGGTTCCTGCTTAGACTCACAGTGATGGGGGAGGCGAGTTTCCCCCTGTAGTTGTTCTCTCTTGCTGCCCAATGTAACGATGCTGATGCCTCAAAACACCTGTGACCGGGAAACAGCAGAGTGCCTCCTGGTGTCTCTGTGTGGCCCTGGAAATCTGCTTCTACCCGCTCAAGTCCACTGCACCATGGACTTTCACATGGACATTGTGTGTGTGGTTCAGGCTGTCTTGGTGGGTCCCTGACTGAGCTAGCAACCTCCTGTTGGAGGTGATGGCTCTCTCCTAGCCAGCCAGGAGCGCGTATCATTACCGTTACCTCCCTGAGACACAGTGAGTTTAGGATCCAGGTGAGAGAGATGCAACCATGAGTCCTCTGCTGTGCTGTCTGCAGGAGGAATCACAGAGCTGCCTCCTACATGGAAGTGCAAGGCAGGACAAAATTGAGACAGATGGCTTCTTGCGGGTTCACAAGCCCTTTAGCTTGAGTGGCAGATTCAAAAACCTCAATTTTATCTGTCTGGCACTAAAAAAGGTAGCATCCTTTGGTAGGTCTGTCTGAGCAAACCAGATTCAGCAAAGGTAAGAGATGGGAAGTTAAAAAGCCTGGATGTTCTTTTGCTCAGGCTGATCATCTCCAGGTGTCAGAAGTCAGCGTCAAACCCTGCAGATCTCAGGCAGCACATTGTCCCCCTTCAGCAAGTCTCTTGTGGACTAGGGAATGGGGATGGACCTGGACGTGCTGGGAGAGACAGAGAGAGTAAAATCAGGAGCCTGAAACAGGTGCTGGGTGCCAGCACGGAACTTAGACATGGGTTAAGTTTCAGGACAAGACAGCATAGGGAAAAAATTGTCAGGGGAAAAGAAAAGTAGCAAAACTGTGCTCGGACTACACCTTTTCTGGTTGAAAGCCTAGGAAATAAGTGTGGAGGCTGCATCTAGAGCTTGGCTGCATTGTCAAAGCAGCAGTCCCCTGTGCACTGCCCAGCTCTTCGGGATGATGCGACTCAGACCAAGCAAGTTCAAACTGATCCATTTCCTTGTAGCAAGTAACAGGGAGCCTTGCAGAGCTGAGGGTTGGAGGTGTCTTCAATTCTGCTTTATCTGTGCTCTCAGGGGTTGCCTGTGGTACTGTCCCCTCTGCTGACCTGCAAGGGACAGCAGCACAGAAAGGAGGTTTACCAACTCTGGGTTGTTTGTTGTTTGGGTTTTTTCCTTTCAGAAAGTTGGGGATCAGTCAAAGATGGAAGCCTGCAGCACATTTCTGAGTTTTGAGAGATTTGAATCTCAGATAATGAAGCATGCCAGTGCTTCCACATTGCCTTTGGTAAAGAAACAGAGCTTTCTGCAAAAAGCAAAACTTCTTGTCAGTCTTTTTTCGCTCAGATACACACTGTAAAGCCCTGCATACCTCCTGGTATGGAAAACCATCCTCCTGTGCTCAAAGGAGTAGCTGTTAACAGCATTGCAAGGTTTCCTGCATGAGCTACCTGCTCGATGTAAAGGTGCTAAAAAACTGCTTGGAGAGGGTTTTTTGTTTTCTTTTTTGGTTGTAGTTTTTTTTTTTTTCCCCAAGCCTTTTGGATCCCACAGTGTGAAGCTGTGTGGCCATTTGGGAGGAGAGCAGCAGTGCCCATGTGAAGTGTTTGCCGTGTGTCTGGTCCCTCTTCATGCGTGGGGCCCCGGCATGGGCTCTGGGGGTGTCCAGTGGGTGAAGTGGCAAGGGGTCCCACACACTCTTGGTCCGATTGCTGCATGATGCTTTGGGTTTTTTCGGGGAGAGGTTTAAAAATGCAGCTCTTTATAGCATTGTTAATCCCTACGTGTCACCTAGAGCAGTTAGAGGCTACCTGAAGGCATGGGTTAATTACAGCTGAGCCTCCCTCCGCTTGTAAAATTGGTGTGAAGTGCCCTTTGCCTTGAAATTTCATTATGAAAAGAGCAGCCAAAGGGTGTGAAATGAGGATAAGCTCCTAAACTGGACTCAGCAGGTGCTTTGAGGTGTGAGCACATTGCACTTTGCACCAGCACCAGGAAAAGTCCCCTTTGAGACTATGGAGCCAGGCCTGGGTTTGGTACTGTGGGACCTCGGGAGCGCTTGGCAGCTGGGGCTGGGCAGACCCCTTTGCCAGGGGAAGAAAACCCTCTGATCCCACAGCCTCTGCTACTCCCTCTCCCTAGCCTCTTTGTTCAACTTGCCTTCATTTTCTGCACTCAAGTTTTCACTGCTCTTGCTTATGCATGATGGTGATCATCTTCCCATCACCTTAGTTATTGAGCGAGCCCTTTTGTTTCGGGTGAGGATGCTGAGAATTTGCTCAGATCCTCCCCCACAAAAGCTCACTCCTCCCTGTGAAGTCATTTATGCCCGAGGCAGGTGATGAATGCTTTTGAAAACCTTGGTTTGACACTTGCATGTTAAAACCTTCATTTGAAAGATACTTATGGCTGCTTCAAGAGCATGTGGTGGCTCTCCAGCCGCAGATCCATTAACCATGTCTGGATTAAACAATTTCCAAACTGATTGTTTATTAACCAGGGAAAGCAGTTTGGGAGGAGGTGATGTTTTAAGCTGCTGCTTGGGCACAATATTTTATCCGTCCTTGACTCGTGTCCCGTACCTGGTGCGGGAACTGTGGGGCTGGGGGTGGCTTGCATGGTGGGGGAGTCCTTGACACTGCTTAGAGGGTGTAGAGGGGGAAAGACAGAATGTGATAGAAGAGAAAGGATTTGGCAGTCTTGGTTTCCAGGCTGGGAAAAAACCTTCAGCCTCCTTTGACGATGACCTATGAGTTAGTTCGCTTCTGCCTGCTCTGTTCCACTGCACAGGGTTTGGGTTTGAAGCTGCTGCTGTAAAGTTGGGTTCTAGATTCGAAATCCTTACTCTCAAACCACCAGTATTCTCGGGTTTGTGGGTATGATCTTGCTGTTTTTCAAAAGTACTCGAGCAATTTGCAAGCCCATACTTGTGCTCAAAGCCATGTGTGCTTTTGAAATATTGCTGCCTGAGAAAGGCCAAACTGATTCTCCTCAGGGGCCTCATCGCTTGGGGAGGAGAGCAGAGATTTTCCTGCCCCGCTCTCTGCAGGTCCCCTTGTTAACTGTGCCTGCCCTGGGATAAACATGCTCTGCTGTGGTGTCAGCTCTTTGGTCCTTCCCATCATGATAACAGCCCTCCTGGTTTCGTTTTCCCGGCGAGGCCCCTGGGGCGGATGATGGGTCATGCCCGTGCTGCGGCTGGCAGAGGAGCAGCAAGGAAGGGGCTGTGCACCGCAGCAGACAGTGGCATCCCGTGCCTGACCAGTAGCCCTTGCAGGAAGCAGCTCGCTTCGGCCCGCCATCCACTAAACAAGGCTGTGTGTCACGGCCATGTGCTAAACCAGCAGCGCCCTTCCCAGGGCCCGGGGAGCATCCTGCTCCTGTGTGTGCGTGACTGCCCAGGTTTTAGTGTGGGCACAGGAGTGAGTGTCAGAGTGTCAGAACTTTGCTTCTGGTCTTAGCACCCCACGCTTTTCAAATTGAATCTGGCACGTCCTCCTGCATGCTGCGCAGCAGAGGCTGTGCCGTGGTCCCACAGCCACGGTGTGGCAGAGCTTAGGAAGAGGGTGCTGAAATCCTGGCCACAGAAGGGTTTTGGTCCGTGGCCTTTGTCCTGGCTGTAAGCTGAAGCTCTGCCAAGGCTTCTCTCTGTAACAAGGGTCCCTTCTGGCAGAAAAGCTCATCTCTGCCTTTCTCCATTGCTCTGGGAAGGCCCAGCTGCTCGCCCCAGCAGTCTGTGAACTTTATCGCAAAAATCAATCCCAAAATGTCTCTGCGTGGGGTGGGACAGGGGGATGGCTCAGTCCTCCTAGAGCCTCCCACCAAGAGAGGGGAGCTGAGCTGGGTCTGACCTTTCCTCAGCCATTTTGGCTGCCCTCGTGGTTTGCAGCTGGCTTGGATGCCATCGTCCCATGGGCAGCATTCTTTGGGGGGCGGGGGGTGGTGCTGCGGGGAAGTGCTCAGGCTCGAGCTCAGTCCATCACAGGCGCGCCAACCCACTGCGGCGACACTGGCATCTGGCAACAGGTAAGAAGCTGCTGATGTCAACTGTTACAGTTAAGTCACTTAACTTTTTTAATTTGTTTTCAAACTAGGATGGAGAAGAAGAATTTAACCGTGCTAAACTGCTGAATGTAGGATTCGCAGAGGCCTTGAAAGAGTATGACTATGATTGCTTTGTGTTTAGTGACGTAGACCTCATCCCAATGGATGACAGGAACACCTACAAATGTTACAGCCAGCCACGGCACCTCTCTGTATCCATGGATAAATTTGGATTTCGGTGAGACGGCTTTTGGAGAGGCGTTTTGTTCCTAATATCGCCATTAGCCTAGCAGGCCAGGCTCAGAGTTACACATCCCCACCCATCATTGAAAGCATGGGAAAATGTCTCTGGCAAAAGCCTGTCTTGGCGTGTGTGTCCCTGCAGGGAGCGGGTGGCTGCAAGTGGGATCAGCTGGAGGGGAAGAAGGGGGAGAAACACAGCTGAGCAGTTTATTAAAATTCGCAGCTCCTTGAAAGTGAAACACAGGGTGAGGAAAAATTAAGAGCCTGTCGCTTTGCAGATGCCTGCGTATCCCTTCTTGTGTTTCAGGCTGGAAGCTGGAAGACAGCTAATGTTTCCACCCAGTCTGAAAAGTGAGACACTCTCACACTGTGAAAATTATGTGCAGCTTTAAAAAGACTGCATCAGACACTATTTTAAGAGCAAAATGAAATATTTTTGGCTGTTTGATTTCAGGCCACTGAGGGACCTGCCCTGGTGATGGAGAGCAACATAAACCAAAATGCCTTTCAGCATACATTTGGGTTCAGCAAAACCCAAATTTTGCAAATAAAAATGTGTCTTGCTTTTCCTTTTTTTTTTTTTTTTCACCCCCCTACTCCAGATCCCCAAGAGGGGCAGTTCAAAAGCTCATCTGTAAAGTGAAAACTGGTTGTGACCTCATGGTGACCAGTAGCAATAAAGATACAGCAGTGGAATTGGTGGCAGGACTGTCACTGTCACCTCAGCAGCTGCAGTTTTTTCTTGTAGCTAGGTGAAGCTTCGAGCAGAAATGCAGGCCCCAGGGTTTTCTTCTGCTTGCTAAAGCAGAGGCAAGGTCTGCGGTAGGTCATGGTGATCCCTGCATGGGCCCTCGTGCTGTGGGTCTGAATTTTGCCTGCCCCTGATCCCCCAGTGAATTGTCCCTCGTTTCAAGCAGGAGCTGGTTGGCTTTGTGTGTGCAAGGTCACACTGCCAGCTCAGTTTTGGGCTGTGAGCTTTCCTTTGGGGCACTAGGGAGCATGGAGGCAAGCAGTGGAGCTGCAGGAAGAGTCTGCAGCACCTCCAATGACTCGCTGACCTCTTGCCACTCACAAGGCATGCATGTCACCCATCTGTCCTTTGGCAAGGTGGTGTGCATTTCACCGACCTGTCCTTTGAGGACCATGTACTTATTGAAAGGCTGCAGCTGTCACCAGTTGCAAAATAGTTCCCAGCTGTGTTTGGAACTGAGCCCACCAGCTCCTTCTGTCCTGGCCAAGTCTAGGGCACCCAAACACATACTGCTCCTTGCTGCAGGGTGCTGGCTTGCTGTGGGCTGGTTTAAAGGGCAGCCACAAGCCCTTTTCAGGTGGGCAGGCTAAACCTTAGCTAGCACCTCTCCTCCTCTAATGTCCTTTTTTCCCTGCTTCCAGGTTGCCTTACAATCAGTATTTCGGAGGTGTGTCTGCCTTGAGCAAAGAGCAGTTCACAAAGATCAACGGGTTCCCAAACAATTACTGGGGCTGGGGTGGTGAAGATGACGACATTTATAACAGGTAAATAAATACCTTCCTTGGCACCCAGAGTGCCTCCAGGGTGGGGATGAGCACAGACCTGCTGCTTTCGCCCAGGCAGGGGGGGTGCGGGGTAGCACAGGGTGTCTTTTTCACGCCGACTGTGGGAGCCTCCCCTCTGGGTGTGTGATGGAGGTGGTGCATGGGCGACCTGCTGGCTCAGCAAAAGCATGTTCCTGCTGGGTGCTGGTACCCCATTTCATGGCTCCCAAGGTGTGCTGGGGAGTGGGTCTGGCTGAAAAAATCCCACCACTGCTCCACATGTGCATCGCTCAATCGCCACGCAGCCTTGCAAGCATCCATGCCAGCGGGCAGGTTGGAGCTTCTGGGTCTCCCAGCACTGGCTGAAGGAAGGGGATTTGGGGTGTGTGACAGGGTGGAGAAGACCTTGACCCACCTACCCCAATGCAGCCTGAGGCTTGCCTGGGTCTGCAGCCTAGTAGCAGATCCCTTTGTTCCCGAGAGAGCTCCATTTGTAGGGCTGTAAGCTGCTCTAAATAAGGCTGTGAGCGTTGCTTCCTGCCAGGAAGGAAGCCAAGCAAGGCTCTGATCTGCAGGAGAGGAGGAGGGTGTTGCACAGGGCAGGCTGGGACCACCCCTGCCTCCAGACCGGAGCAGGGCATGGACATGGGGTTGTGCTAGGGCTTCAGTTGCTGTGAGAAGTTGTTGTGGGGAGCTTAAATTTGGGAAGCCCTCTTCACGTTTCTCGATGGCAAAACCACTCTGCACAGCCTTTTCTCTGGGCTTCTGAGCTCTTCTGGGCTTCAGGAAGGGTATTCCTAAAAATGCTCGTGCCTTCCTGAGGTTCAGCACTTCTGTTTAATAAACCCAGAGAGAGGCAACCTTCCAGTGGGTCAGGGCATTCAGAGCAAAATGGTTGTCCTCTCTTTTTGGGGCACTCAGATTTTGAGGAGCAGAAGATGCTATTTAGAAATGAAAAGGGAGCCGCAAAGAGGATGAAACCAGGTACTTTTCCAGAATTGGTGTCCATGAACTGTAGGTGCCTTGCAGAGAGCACGCAAAGAGAGGCTGCCCCTTGCCCGGCAGATCCCAGCTGGGATCGTTATGCCTCTGACTGTGTGCCCTGCCCCGTGCTGCTTCACCACCATTCAGTTCAGTTTCTACCAGCACTGCAGCTTTTACATCCCAGAAAATGAATGCTCTTCTGGCTCCTTTCCAGATGGGTTAAAAACTAGGTGCCTCCCATTCAAATTCCAGACTACAGCCTAGAGCAAAGTTAATGTGGGTGTTGGAGGAGCTGCTGAGGGTGCAGTGAATTAGCAGATCCTTAGTGTTGGCAGGGGGTTGTCTCTTTTCCTCACACAGATGCACTTGCGTGGAAGGGGATTGGCTTTCCTCTCTTTCAGTGTTGGCAAGCCTGCACTGGTGACATCCTCAAACAGAAAAAAAAAAGAAAAAAAAAAAGGCAAAACCCCAAAAAACCAATGGTCGTTTGTGGAAGGTATGGCACAGCATAGCACATCTGTCACCTGTCGTGGGTGTTTAATGTACTTGTTTTTTGCAGGCTGCTGTTTAAAGGCATGGGGATATCCCGTCCGGATGCCATCATTGGGAAGTGCAGAATGATTCAGCATTCCCGGGACCGGAAGAATGAACCCAACCCCGAGAGGTGCGTACCGCAGTAGATTCAAGGGGTGCCTCCTGCCCTTGCTGCTCCAGATGCTTGGCTTTCTCTTTGCTCTGCAAAAAGCCCGATCATGGAAAGCCTGTGGCCTTCTCCTCCCTTGCTGACCTCTCTGTTCCCTGTGCCATAAGCTGCCCCCTTCCCCTCTGCCGTTTATTACCTTACTACAGACCTTTTCCCCAAGATTTCACAATGGCCAAACACCTCTCACCTTTCTTAACACCCCCACCCCCTTAAAAGCAGTAAATTAAGCTTCAGGCAATTTTGGCAAGTAAGACCTGTGCTCTTAGTGCAGAGCTGGAAAAGGACCTGTGTGATTTAAAAGCTTGGCTGCCTTTTCCTGGCTGAAGTTTGACCCCATGGGGATGCTTTTGCCCGTTGCTCAGGCTAGCCAAACCTGGGAGTTTGTGGGACACGTACCGATACTCAGGTTGTTCTTAAAACACCGGAGGTGCCGCCTGAGAGGCTATAAACATGTCATGGGAAGTTCGGGTTGTTTAAACATCGTTTCTCTTTTCCTTCTTGTTTCC